TTTCAGGGCAGCAATGAACATGGATGAATGGGTATCTCTGCAATAGGATACAGAGACCTTATGGTACTTCTCCTTTGTGGTGTTTTTTGAGGAAACATCATGGTGGCAGGACAGAATTACACTTCCATGAACATTTTATGTGTTTGTTTTCACCTGCATCCTATCCAGGATTAGCAAATCTAATAAAAAGAAAAATAGACTTTGGAATCACATCTCTATTATGTCCAAATCTTAAGTTATTTTCTTGTCCAGTTACCAGACAGATAGCTACACTTCTTGAATCTATGTCTTCCCATCCAAAATTACTTAAATGATAATAGCAAAATACAGTGTTTGTAAGTGTAATAAATTAACATGACAAATGTCTAAAGTTTTAACAATTTTAAGCTGTAACCATCAGTGACATTAAATATCCACAGGGCTATGCAACCAACATCATCATCTATGTCAAGAATCTGAAAATTTTAAGCATTAAGCTTAAAATACTTGGTCAGATATGAAATTAGTCCCCAGATGATGCTCACTCACTTCAGTGTGAGGAAGTTTGGGAGAACCAAATGATATTAGATTTATTTGTGCAGTAAAATAGCCCATGACAAAGTTCTGAAATTATTATTTAAATTTCATCTGGGATTATTATTGACTTGGACGATTGGTTTTGATAAAAATCAGCATCAAATTATTAGGATTGTTTATCATAATTATTTCCTGACAATTGATGTGTTTGTTCTCTGCATTCATGCTCATTTTTATATATTTAAAATCATACTTCTAAAAATGCATTGATAAATGGAGGGTACAGTAACCCTACCCTTCTAAAAAAAATCAAAGCAAAGTTTCTTAATTTGGAGCATGTTTTAACTACATGTGACAACTGATTCTGAATTTTAATTGATCAAGATTTGAGCAGTGGATTCTATTGGTATCTCATGGATAAAGGACATCGGGGATAATATTAAACATTCTATAATACCCAGGATAGTCCTCCAAAGTACATTTTTTTACTTCCTCTATAGTGTCAATTATAAAAAAAGAAAAAACCTGAAGGCAGTTGACAGAGAAGTCAATGATTATATTTCAAGGACTTCTAGCAAGAAATATTGGATGGGAAGGTGGGTTTCAACTTGTAAGAATAAATGTATCTCAAGACTCTCATAATTAAGATGCATTTTTCATGGACAGGCTTAAAATAAGCTTCATATTCAGTGATAATAGCAACAAGATCTAACTTGGACTGAGGGGATCCAACATCCCTGGAACTATGCTCAGGACTGAATATCTAGCCAGATATCTTTTTCTTTCTTTCCTTTTTTTTTAAAAAAAAATTATTATTCCAAAGACAGGCAATTTTTAACACACTATTCCAGAAATAACTTGAAGCAGGTTACATAAAAATATACATACAATGAAGTTTAAGCGGGGAAGAAGGAAAAGAAATCAAAGACCAAAAGATTTGTCAACATGGGGTCAACTTTGGTGTAATAATGATGGTTTCCATTAGCTCTGTTCTTTTTTTCTTAAAAAATCCTAATGAGTTTATTGGGCTTGCTAATAGAGCATAGGCTGGGGGTTTATTTACAGAAGAGTGGGTGCCCCCTTGACCCATTTATGGCTGTGCTGGAAAGTCCACACTCAAATATAGATCCTGTGACTTCCCAACAGCCATGCAAAATGGCAAGAGAGGTGCCTCTTGGTGTTCTCAGTTTATATATCCTTAGCCCCTCCCTCACATGCTGCTAAGGTCGACTGATTGGGTAGGTGGGTGGGGTAACTGACTCCCCCATCAACTCCTTGACAAGTGTGGGAAGGAGGTGTGACTATAGCTTGCTAGCCTAGTGGTTGGAGCACACTTCCAGTTAATACTCCACCCTTTTCTCCAGCTCTTACATTCTTTCTGCAAACCTCTTCCACAAAAGTCCCCAAGTCTTGGAGGGTGTGATAGGTGTGGGATGATCTTCCTCTCATGGGCTTTTGGCCCATTTCAGGGGGATTCCATATACTATAAAAACAGCAAGCAGCAAGAAGCAAGAACATCTAAAGAGTGGCTGCTATAATAACTTAACTTATGGGCATAATACAAATGCTTGGACAGTACTGAAGCAGGTGCATTGCATCCTTCTAAGAAAACAATTGCAGTGACTTCCCCACTGGGGCCTATGTTCTCCTGTCACAGGAGGTTGGTCTGGTCTATAGTACCAGATGTGTGTTCCACCCCTAGGAGTGGGCCTTAAATCCAATTGAAAATTTGATGGTTGTACATACACTAGATGCTCCACTATTGCACCAGCAGGAACATCTTGTTTGGCATGTAGATAGTGCAGCACACAGGGTCCATTGTTGAGCAGAATTATAGGGGATAGTTCTCCCCCAGGCATCTGTATGTCACCTTCTGACACTATGAAAGCCACCCATCCAGTGGCAAGAGTTTCCAGGTTAGTCCAAGCTTGATTCCTCCCTCTCCTGTGCTCACATCATGAGATGTCTTCATCAGTAGGGTTTTACTGTCCACTTCTGGTGTATAACCAACATTATTGGCAATGGTCTTTGTGTTTGGGGGACCTCTAGGGCCCCTCTGACCAACAGCTCATAGGGGGGCAGCCCACCTCTGGCACTGGGATTTTCATTCAATAACTGTGACTTCTGGTAGGACTTTCTTCCATCCCCATAGGATTTCTTCTGTGCCTAAGGATTTTTTAAAAACTGTGAATTGGAAGAATTTTCCCCCTTTATTGCCATAGTTCTTTGTATAGCCCTCCTTCCCCACTCCTCCCTTAACTACCCCTAGCTGTCTTATACTGTAAAATATTTTTATTTTAGTTTTCATATAGTAGTTGTTCCTATACATATTTATAGGATAGAGTGTGATGTTTCAATATATATAAATATGTGAATAGCAGAGTAATTATCATGTTTATTACCTTAAACACATGTCCTATTAGTGTGTTGGGCATATTAAAACAATATATCATTTGCTTTAAAGTACTCAATTATTTGTCAAATATATTTATCCTGCTATAGAACATTAGCAGCTTTTTATTTCTCCTATACAACTGAAACTTTGTAACCATTAATTACCCTTTCTCCTACTGATCTATTCTCACAGTCTTTCCATACTCTTGTAACTATTACAATATTCTATCCCTTCTTTGGGACTTACTTCATAGCATAGATAGATAGATAGATAGATAGATAGATAGATAGATAGATAGATAGATAGATAGATAGATGTCAGAACATATAACAATCGTCTTTCTCTGTTCAATTTATTTTCTTACTATAATGTTCTCTAGCTCCATACACGTGGTCAAAAATGAAAATTTTGGTATGCTGTGTGTGTGTGTGTGCGTGTGTGTGTCTGTGTGCGTGAACGTGGATATACACATGGCACTGTATGTGTATGGCAATTAGAGGAAAACCTTGGATGTCAGTCCTTAACTTCTATCTTGTTTGAGATATGGTCTCTGTTGTTTTCTTCTGTATACATCAATCTAGCTGGCCCAGGAGCTTTGAGGAATTCTCCCATCTCTCCACAGAATCATTAGGTGTGCAGGTGTTTGCAGTATGCATCCAACATTTCTATCAAGTCAGCTTAGGTCCTCGTGCTTTCACAGCAAGAGTTTATCTATTGAGCCACTCCCAGACCAGGTCTCATTATGTTTGATCGGTAGATGAAATATACAAACACACACACACACACACACACACACACACACACTTCACTCACCCATTCATCCATAGGTGGGTGTCTAATTTATACGCTTCTTATATATTGTGAGTAGTGTTTAGTGTTAAGATAACAGTGCAGTTCTGTCTTGAACATACTGACTTCAATTATTTTGTACATATATCAGTACTTGGATTGCTTAGCTGGTGATTTAATATTTTTTTACTTAGAATTTATTGAGAACTTGCCACATGACAGGCACTAATCTCTAAACATAGTCCTTTGGTATTATTGTTACAGTACTGCTAGTGGACCAGATCATCATCACACATTTTATGGATGAAGAGAACGATATCAAGAAACTACCCAAGAACAAACATCTTGTTGCAATGTGGTTAAGTCCAGTTTAATTTTATTTCTGGCTGCACTAACCCCTCTGGCTTGTACAATCTATGTGCATTAATAATTTGTTCCTGATAAAGTCATCCACGGTTTAGCTTCCTGGAAAACTGTACTTTTCCAATCTTACCTCCAAGGCCGTTTGCTGTATCTGCATTGCTAGAATTAGATACACCCATGGAATTCCAGAAAAGTGTGGATGGGGCTGGGAACTTGGACATTACCAATGAAATAATATATTTTCTGATTCAAATCTGACAATTCTCCTGGTTCTTGGTCCTCTTACTTGGTCACTTCATTCACACAGAAAATATATATCAGATACTTTAGTTCCAGCACTTAGGTGTCACAGTATTCATATTTATTTAGACTGTCTACAGATCATCATTCTAACACAAAAATTAAAGCCTTCAATAATGGTCGGGGATATTCAATGGATCTCCACTTTACCTTTCCAAACCTGCTCTTTCATTTGAATACAAAGCTTGCCAACTCAGCTAGTCTAGACCCAGCTTGTTCCAGTGATCTTGTATCTCTACCTTCTAAGCATTAAATTACAGGCATTCTGGAATGCCCATCAGGCATTTACATGTGTTCTATTGACCTTAAGCCTGGTCATCATGCTTGCTGCTTGTGCAGCAAACATTTTAACTGCTGAGGTACCTCAGTGGGTAGCTCTTAACTGGAGTGTGGCCAAGTGTTTCTTTCACATAGTACAAGTTGCTTACTTTCTGTTTCATGTCCGTTGCAGACATCATTAATGAGACTCAGTCCTCTTATCTACTGATTCTACTGTGGCCACATAACTCTTCTCAAGATGGCATTCCAGGAAACCACTAAAAATTGATGGAAATTGTCATGGAGATGAAAGTAGTTTGTCATCTCAGTCTTCTTGAAATAGATCTGTTCTTCCTGAAGATAAGACATTTTATTAGACATGAGGGATGTCAATCAATCAGAGTCCACTGACTTCATTCTGATGAGCCTCTTCAGATCAGGCTCACATCAACTCCTCTTTTCCCTGGTGGCTACCATGTTTATTATGGGCCTTCTGGGAAACACTACTTTACTCTTCTTGATTCGGTTGGATTCCCGTCTCCACACACCCATGTACTTCCTGCTCAGTCAGCTCTCCCTGCTAGATGTTTGTTTCCCCCTGATCACCATACCCAAGATGGTATCGGACTTTCCTAAAGAAGAAGGTTTGATATCCTTTGGAGGTTGTGCAGCTCAAATATTTTTCCTGACCATGATGGGTGTGGCTGAGGGTGTCCTCCTGGCCCTTATGTCTTATGACCGTTATGTGGCAGTGTGCCATCCTCTGCAGTATCCTATACTAATGAGACACCATGTGTGCCTGCTTATGGTGAGTGCTTCCTGGCTAGCAGGTATGCTCAATGCCTCCATTCAAACCTCTGTCACTCTAAACTTTTCCTACTGTGCCTCTAGAATTATAGACCACTTCTTCTGTGAGGTGCCAGCATTATTAAAGCTCTCCTGTTCAGATACCTCCATCTATGAGTTAGCACTGTCCATCTCTGGGGTACTGATCCTTATGCTCCCTCTTTTGCTCATCATCACCTCCTATGGCCAAGTACTGAGAGCTGTTCTACATATGCATTCAGAGAAGGCCCGGAATAAGGCCTTCACTACTTGTTCTTCACACATCACAGTAGTGGGACTCTTTTATGGTGCAGCAGTGTTCATGTATATGGTGCCTGGTTCACACCACACGCCTCACCAGGACAATATGGTCTCCCTTTTCTACAGCCTTGTGACTCCTACGCTCAACCCCCTTATCTACAGTCTGAGGAACCGAGAGGTACAGTTTGCTTTGATTAAAGTGCTAAGCAGAGTTGGACACTGGCAAAAGTGACAATTACATGAGGAACTACGGGTGCAATTCAGATCACTCACTCCACATATTTTCTAAATGTATTTATTTCTGCATAGTAAAGTTGTCAGACTTTTTCAAGGCCGATTGTCTGCCCTTTGTCCTTTTCACCAGCTTTATAATGATCTGAGTTCACGTTTTCTCCTACATAATCATGGAAAACAAAATTAATAGTATCAGTCACTTTTGGCTTATCCTTTCTCTTGGCATGTATTGTTTTCATATTTTAATTTTAATTTATTTATTATTTTTATTTTATGTGTATGAGCGTTGTCTTAGTTTATTCTTCATTGCTGTGACAAAATACTCTGACCACTACCAACTTGGGGAGGAAAGGGTTTATTCAGCTTACATCTCCCAGATCACAGTTCATTGGGGAGCCCAAGGTAGGAACTCAGGGCAGGAACCTGGAAGCAAGAGCTGGAGCACAGGCCATGGAGGAATGCTGCTTACTGGCTTGCTCCCCTGGCCCCTGCTCAGCCTGCTTTCATATGCCACATAGGCCCACCTGATGCCACATAGGCCCACCTGCCCAGGGGTGGCACCACCCACAGTGTGCTGGGCCCTCCCACATCACTCAACAATCAAGAAGATGCCCCACGGACATGGCCACAGGCCAGTCCAATGAAGGCAATTCTCCAATTGAGGCTCTCTTAACCCAGGTATGTCAAGTTGACACTAAAGCTATCCAGCACAGCATGTATTGCCTGCATATATGTAAGTGCACCCATGTCGTGCAATGCCTGCAGAGGTCAGAAGAGGCTGTCAGATCCCCTGGGACTGGAGTTACAGACAGTTGTTAGCTGCCATGTGGGTGCTGAGATTTGAACCCAGGTCTTCTGCAAGAACAACCAATGTTCTTAACCGCTGAGTCATCTCTCCAGCCCCAAGACCTTATTTTTCTAAAGGTCAGATCCTTCTGTTATTGAGTTGATAATTTTGGCACTAAGAATTTATATTCTGCTAAGCAGATGTTAGTTTGTATTCATGTCAGCTTTGAGCTTTAGAAACTGTTACAACTTACATTTTTTAAAAAGTGAGACTCAAATATACAAATAAATTCACCAAGAAGCACATTAGAACAAAAATGGCAAAGTGAACCTTATACTCATGGTAATATTTGACTACCACATAGAGACCTGGTGACTACCATGGATCAGTGTGTGTATGTGAATGTTCATGTGTACACAAAGAGGCAATGTATGATGAGTACTTTGATTTGGCATTGTTTGGTATCCTCCAGGTTCTTTGTTTTTCCTTTTTTCGGTGTTTTATTTGTATTTGATCTTAATCAAATATAGACCCCCATCCCCCATCTGCATCCCACCATAGCATTGCCCGACCCCACCAGATTTTATGCATTCTATCATATATTTTAACACCTATCTGTTCAAGCATTTATACCCAAACATCCCTCAGTGCAAGCTCATCCACTGGAGTCTAGTATGGAAATTGAAACAGCATTAAAAAAACCTCCCAGGCAGAGGCAGGCTGATCTCTGTTGAGTTCAAGGCCAGCCTGGTCTACATAGTGAGTTCCAGGACAGCTGGGGATACAGGGAGACCCTGTCTCAAAAAGACCTAAAAAAAACCCCTCCCAACTAAAGCAACCTAGACCCAGATGGATTCACAGCAGAATTATACCAGACATTCAAAGAAAATCTACAACTAGATTCCTGATTATTAGAATCTGCTTTCAATGACACTAGGAGTCAAATTTAATAATATCTATGCAACACTATTTATAATTTTGCCATCCCCATTTATTAAATCATCCATTTTATTATTTCTTTCTACTTTATCAGTGGCCACTTGATCTTTTCAGGGGATTGGTATTACGTTTAATTATTTTGCAAACAAATATCCAGCTTTGGGACAAGGTTTAATCTATTAACATCTTTGTTGATGTAATGCTGTCATACAATGAATTTCATGTATTTTTATTATAAAATTTGATGATCTTTGGAAAGTATATTCCACTATGAATAGTCTAATTAAGAGACTGAATGAGTTTCAGCATGGTGGCACATGCCATTTATCCCAGCACTTGGGAGGCAGAGGCAGGTGAAACTGTATGTGATCAAGGACACCTTGGTCTGTAGCCAGTTCCAGGCAATCTGGGGTTATAGAAGACCTTGTCTCAAAAACATATTGAATAAACACACAAATTCATAAACATACTCCCATATATACATATGTGTGTGGACAATGCATGTATCAGAACATGTGCTATTCATTTCTCAATACTGCTTATTTCACTTACTATAATCCATTTCCTAGCACCAAAGCCTTATATGTAAGTATATATCGTGATGTAACTGCAGGAACCAGGAAAATGGAAGAGAACCAGTAAGGTAAAGGGAAAGAAGGAACTCAAGAGAGAAGAATAATAAGAGACAGGCATTACTAAGGTAGAAATGTATAAAATAGGAGTACTTAAATGGGAGGGGAGGAGGGCTATACAAGGAACTATGGGGATAACGGGAAAGAAGGTGCTCAAGAGAGGTGGGATCATAGCAGACAGGAATTATTAAGGAAGAAATGGGGAAATGGGGACTATTTAAATGGGGATGGCAGAGAGGGAGGATAAGACAGGGAGAGAGAGGGAGGAGAGATAAGTAATGCCTCACTAGTATAAAAACCCAGAAGGACTAATCGTATTAGTCCAAAAACCTACTGAAAAATTACACATATAATATCTCTACATGAGTTCACATGTACAGCTGAATGCTACATAACAAAAAACAGTGCCAGACAGGAGAATCCTTCCTTTGAGTTGTTGACCAGGGTAGTCCAAGGGATGTCCAAAATTACACAGGCTATTTCCACAGTCATTGATGGCCTCCCAGAACTTGAAGGTAAGACCATATTGCTGAGGAAAGGCATAATTAGAACACAGGATTTAGAGCAATGGAGATGGAACTGACCAGGAAGACACCTCCCCTGAAGGCTAGCTCTCATACCTTTTGAGAGCACTATGCAAGCAGACAAGAACAACGTCAATTTATGGTCTAACCCCAGTTGCAAGGCCTAAAAACCACATCAATGATGAGTACAGAAAACAACAGTAGTGCAGTTTTATCTTGGGGGTAATCAACAGCCACCTAACTGAACTTAAAGCCCACTCAATGGGAGGAAACTTAGGTGTAGTACTGTAAATCTAGTCAAATACATTTGGACATGTCTCCTATGTTAAAATCCACTCACCCAGGACTCAGGCACCATTGTGGAAGAGTGGGAAGAAAAATCATGAGAACCATGGAGGAGGTGCATGACCATAGGGAAATAGAGGTTTACAGGCTCCTGGGACTCTTCTCATATGAACTTATAGCAATGGTGTCAGCATGCACAAGACTCATAAAAACTCAGGTAGACAAAAATACAGCACAGAACTGTGGAAATGGACAGCAGGCCCTAGTCTTAGTAGAATAATTTTTATACATAAATATTTTTATTTAGCTTTTGTAATTTCATACAACAGTTTTTAATCAAGTTTAGGCCCCCTCCCCCATCCATGCCTCCCCCTTCCACCTACTGGACTTCATGTATTATTCTGCCATACATGTTAAGTCCTATCCATTCAGACATTTGTACCCAAATGTCCATCAGTGTAAATTTGTCCACTGGAGTCTGGTGAGCCCATCTAGAGAATGTATGTAAGTCATACTCTCCCTCACCCAGCAGCAATCAGTCTTAAACAGTTCTCAGGCTAGTGCTGGCCATCTATTTCTCTCCTCCCTTTTGGGTCCTTGTTTAATTGAGTTGACATGGGTCCTGTGCTGGAGGCCACCATTGCACAAGTTTATATGTTCAAGCTTCCAGTGGCCTGGAAGCCTCTACTTCGCCATGTTCATGAACCAGCCCTGGCTCTTACAATCTTTCTGCCCCCTCTTCTGCAGTGGTCCGTGAGTGGTGGGTGGATGAGCTTCTGTATAGGAGTCCTACCCTACACTCTGCAATCGCTTATTCTTTAAAACTTGGCCAGTTGTGGCCTTCCATGTGCATCACACTCTTGTATAAGGAAGCTTTACTGGTGAGAGTTGAGGGATGCATTAGTTTTCTCTCTGCCTCTTGTTTTCTATGTTCCGTGAGTCTTTGTTGTAGAGGTTCAGCTGTAAATATGTCACCTAGTACTGTGCTTCTCTCAGGTATGTTCTCTGTGCGGAACCAGATGTGCAATTCTCCAGCAGCCTCCATCTGTTGCAAAAAGAAGCTTCTTTGATGAGTGGTGTGTGGTGTTTGTCTGCAAATACAAGGATCACTATGTAGTGTATAATAAAGATTTTCATTTTTCTAGAGTGATGGGAAGAGGGTTTTCTCTAGGATTTATGTCCTCTCCTGCCATGTGGATTTGGCTGGGTGTGCAGTGCCACCCATGGGTTCCCTCCCATTGGGAGGGCTTTAAGTCCATTTAGATACCTGTTGATTACCCAACAGATAGCAGTACCACTACTGCACCAACAGAGGCAGTTTTTCATGCGGTTATTATGGTTTTTAGGCTTTAAGGCTGGATTAGGCCATTGATTGTTTTTCTTCCTGGGCAGTTTGCTATCAACATCTAGCATTATGATAGCCAAACTTCAGTTAGAAGGCCTCCAGGTCAGCTCCTGCTCCATTGTGTCAAGTCACTTTATCCAGTAAAATTATCTATAATAGTCAAAGGTGAATGAAAAAAATTTCCATGACATGAATAGACAATTCATGTTCATAAAACGAGGCCTAACAGAGAACACGCAAAGCAATTCAAAGTATTGAAGACAGGAATGACTATATTCAGGAGTTTACAGAAAGAAAACAAATGAAGGTATAATTTTGGAAATAAAATGGGACTAAGAACTGAAACAAATGAAAATGACTATAAATGATACACATTTTCAGTAATAACTTTAAATATCAGTGGCCTCTATTCCTAGCTAAAAGATACACACTAGTGGAATGGAGTAAGAAACAAAATTCATCTTTCTGTTCTCTGCAAGTAACTCA